CTGCAGGGAGACCTACCTCGGCACTTGTGCAGGTGAAGCCAAAGGGAAGATTTGCTTCACCATATTTTCTAGTCTTTGGCTTAGAATGAAGTCGGTTTGGAAACATATTCAGCGATGCTTCATCTCCTGCTTTGCGTTTGTGTGGTGCCCCGTGCTGGCAGTGTCCAAGCGTTTTGGGTTTTTTTTCCCTTTTCATACCACCCCCCACCGCAATAGCTCTGTGCCGCCCCTAGGGGGCGGGCCTCACACTTTGGGAAGCTCTGTTGTGGGGAACCAGTTCTCAGTTTGGTTTTGGGACACAGACACGCTGTATACAATTGCTACCATTTAATTTAAGTGTTTTAAAATCATTGTTTCAATATAAGTGCATCAAAGTCAGCATTAGGTCAGAGGAGCTGATTTTGGAGGCGGTTCAGTTTTTGCAATTAAAGTTTAAATTGTGGATATTCACTTTTTAACCTTTTGTGAATAGTAAAAGGTAATAATCTGAGTGTTCTTCTTTACTAGTGCAAACTGATCTTGAGGTTATTCTAGCACTTTAATTATAACATTTCCTAGAGACCTACTACTATCGAGGCCTCTAAAATCAACCCAGAAATTAAAGTGCCACGATCAGTAGGTGAGCTACGTTAACAAGTGGGACTGACAGGATTTGACCTGCAAGGTTACTCAGATTTTTGCTTATTTCATCAGTGTTGGTACTGGGTGAATCCCTTCACCCACACCGGCTCCATTCAGACTGTGCATTCCCTACTGGGGAAGACCCACAGGATCTGAAATTAGCACCTTTGTTTTAAAATCAGAGAGCCAAACCAAACTTCCTGTATAGGGGTCGAGGCCCTACAGATTCTTGACCTAAAACGTCTTTAAACACATGATTTTGCCTCAGAAATAAATCCTCTCTCACTGAAGATCATCATCCATCTGGCACGCCCGATATATCAGGACACATTTTTAAAGAACAGGGGAAATGAAATAAGGGTCACCATCTTTGTAAGGCTCATATTAAATTTATCATGAAAGTCAGTGTCTTACAAACACACACGGATCTTTCTGCTGCTGCAGCTCGACTCAGAGGAAGTGGCAGGAAAACAAAGACTCTTCTTATTACTAATGGAGCTGCTCTGCCAAGCAGGATGCAGCGTTCGAGGTCTGTGTGCTGAGATGCTGCACCTGTGGTTCAGCAGCAGACGCCACCACAGCCATGAAGGCTGAACTCTGCACAAGCTCAGCGCCTACAAATTCTGACTGTCTCTTGCTCTCACACACAATATCATCTCAGCTGCCATTAGGCAAGAATATATATATATACATCTCAATTTGCCCTTAGGTCATTAAAACCCCATTACTATTACTCAAAACAGATCACATTTTCCTATAGACCCTATTAATTGGAGGTGGGAATCACCATACATCCCTCGATACGATATTATTACAATTTTTAAAAATATTTTGCGATATTCAGATTCTGTACATAAAGGTAAACTTTATCAATATTCATTTTCTCTAATATCAAAGTCTCACACTCAGTCTTTCTCTCATTTCAGTTTGATTGTTGACAAACTGAACGGTTTGTATTACAGTCTAGTCCAACTTAACTGAACAACCATCTGGTACAATTATAGCTATTCTGAACTATGCAGTTTATGAAAACTATGCAGCCCCTTCAGCAACTGAAGAATTTGAAAGTAAATTAAAACAAAATATAATTTTACATTAAATAAAAAAGTTTTAAACTTAATTAAAATAAAACATGTCTTAAATTAAAATAAGTAAACTGTCATGTTTATTGCTGCCAAAAACAAGTGAAACACATTTGGACAGTGAAGGAATGTCAGGATTCTTGCTCAGAAAAAGGATCAACATGCTCTGAAGTCAGAGCACAAAAACCTTTTTGTAACAAAGTATCGATTTCTGCTGTCCCTGTATCCATACATTATTAGCAAACAAAGTATCACCATGCTACACAGTATCCATTTTCCCCACCCCTACTATTAATTTATGTTCTCTGTAAAGGATCACAAAAAACGTCAAAAACACTGTTACTGTTATGATGCACGATGTGTTGATAAACCACTAGTTTGTTTGTTCCCAGTATTTGTTCATTTGAAGTCTGAATGTTGGATAGAAAGAGCTCGTGTGAATGAGGCGTTTTGAGTAAAGTGGTTTGAGTTCTCCGAGTAGACGAGCGCTGTATAAGAAGCAGTCAACGCTCCTGTCCAATCACATTAATGCAGCTCTGCAGCATCACTGTTGGACACAGTGAACGAACTGGAACATTAACGGCAGCTCAAAATGGGACAAAGACGACAGAGAAGCTGCACAAGTGTGGAAATATGTACTTTATAATCTGAGTGACAAAGCTAATGCAGTCATGTTTAAACAGTCTTTCATACCTGCAACCACCCATCCTGTGACTGGCAGCACGACGTCTACATACACAGAGCACTGATCAACAGCTACTCTGTCTCTACCCACACCCACCCACACACACCCACCTGCCCCCCACACACACACACACCTGTAAGAGTAAATGTCAAGCATCAAAAGCATAAATGAGTATTCAGTGCAACACTGTCCTGATGACTACATGCAGAATGATGGTCAAACAGCAGACTCATAGAAACTGAGTCCAGTGGTTTGCTGGTACTAATGAATGATCACGTTAACATCTCAGTGTTTCTGAGCCACACAACCAGAATACAAAGACGATTTAGTGACATCAAACATCTCTTTATATTAACTTCTTTTGTTTTTTAAATAATCTCAATCACACAAAATCCAATCAAGAATAATGATGAACCTGAAGACGCTCCCTAACAGGTCAGAGAGCAGTTTTTGTTTTTACTCAGTCTGTGGGAATTATAAATAAATACAAACAACACACAAACTACTGCAAACAAGATATCATAACAGGAGTTTGCTTGTTTTGCTAACATGAGGATGCTTAAAGAGGTTAATCATAAACAATCATTGAAAGAATCGACTCTCCCAGCCTCGCCTGGACAGGAGAACGAAACAGACAAATCAAACAGCAGGAGGCGTGGCCACAAAGCAGCGTGATTTTCCCCGCCAGATAAAGCAGTGATATCAAAAAGCTCTTCCTATGGAGGTTGAGTTTCTCTTAATCAAAGACATAGTCAGGAAATGTCCTGTTTGCATGGTTTGAAATGGCAGCAAGCACGATTCTCTCCTTTTACGACTTGGATTTAATCAGAGAGGCACAACAGCCACTCCAAGTCACTGAGATCTTATTCAAGACGTCTTTTTCTGAGCCGTTCGTTCTCAGAGAGGCGAGTTCATTAGAAGCAAACAGGAAGTTTGCTGTGAATCATCCTCAGATGTGAACGACGCCCCCTCTGGCTGGTTACATGAACTGCATCTGGAAGGATGTGAAACGAGAACAGAGCAGAATTTAAGAAAACACCATCCAAACACAGCGATGTGAGTGCAGGAGGATTCACCTGCTTTTACTGGTGAACACTGGAAAGATTAACATGTAGGGTCCACTGTGGGAGTGGATTTTACACCTGTTCCTATCTGGACACAGGATTTAAGAAGACTTATGTTCAGATGGTGTAATGGAACAAAAAGCTTATATGTGTGTGTGAGACATGCATTATAATCACCAATAACTTAATGAAAATACAGCCATGCAGCATGCTGAGCGTCAGTCACTGAAGTGATTCAGTCTGAGAAACAACAAACACAAACGCATCGCAAAATTACCTGAAGACTTTTTCCCTTTTATATGTTACTAACTGTCTGCAGGATTAGTAACACAAACTCTTGTGTGTTGACAATGCAGCCAAAGTTTAAAACAATCTATTACAAACCAAATTTGCAGCTAAAGTACAAACAAACTGCAGCGCATGTAGCACGTCTGTGCTTCATCATGGTTTAAAGGAGACGTGGCAAACTAGTCCAGCCACGTGTTGACTACAACAACCCGCTCTGCTTAATCGACCTCTTGAACTTAATAATTATAGTAACATTGAGGACACTGATGCAGACGAGTCGTATCCTGTAGACGCAGACATCAGTTACCTGAGCACCAGGATTGGGCCCAAAGGGGTTGGGTGACCTCATCACAGGCTGAGTATACATCATAGCAGGCTGTGTGATCATCATGGAGCCCATTCGGGGAGGCTGATGGGGAAAAGAAATGATATGTAAGTATTAATTTACATTCATTCATCCAGTCATCATGTAAATTAATCGACTCTGATAAACAAAGCCAGCTGTCCTCACATTTTCACAGATTTCTTCCCTCTAGGAAAAGATAAAAGCACTAAAATCATCTTCAATGAGACGATAAATTCTCAGACTCAGTCATTACTGCTCACTGTGAAATGGTCCCTGCCTCAAAGTGTGCGAGCAGCAGACTTACCATTGCGTATGCCAACATGCCCGCTGGTGTGGCTGCAGGGAACGCCACAGCAGATGGCGCCTGCAGTAAGACACAAACAGATGATCATCTCTCTGTAATGAGGACATCAGCGAGCAGTGAAGTCCTCGTCCAGCACAGACAGTCGCTCACTTCACACTGACCCGTCTCACATATATTACTGATGATGTTGACAAATATTTATGGTGATTTAGGAAAACTGGCTTATTACAAATGCATGCTGGAGCCTGGAGCACATGAAGCAGGACACAGCTGAGCACAGTGCATGAACTCACCAGGCTGAGCTGCTGATTTTATTCTGTTGAACAGTTACGCTTTATTCTCCGTTACAGGAACTAAAACGTTGATTTTCTGTGTCGCCACAAACATCACATATGATGAAGATGCTTTCAGGTGTGAGCATTTAAACAGGCACGTTCCCTGGATCACCAGTATAGTGATGGACGTGTTTAGTAATTACTGTTTTGTGACGACTTTTACGTTTGATTTTTAAGATCTATTTCAATAAAATTTAAAGTTAAAAATATACATTTAAGTTAATTATAGCTTATAATTAGGCTCTGGAGCTGTGGACGTTTCAGTGTTTTTGTTTTGAGGTCTGAACAGTGTCTGTAGGACAAACACTGACTAGTTAGGAAAAAGAAGAAAAACTAGAATTTGTACTTCCAGGAGAGATCGCAGTGGGATTGTTGCTCCCAGCGAACTCGGGACTGCAGCTTCTGGAGTCTGAGTGTGTCTGTGTGAGTCTGAGTGTGTCAGTGTGTACTGGTTGTGCGTGCTCATATGCAATAATCTGATCCAGACCATCACAGTTTGATGAACACTAAGTAGATTTTATCAACGACGTCACAACAACGAGCTCCTGGTCCGTCAGCACTCAGTTTATTGGCTCCTTTCTTCACGACATCAGTTGGTAAATACCAGGTTGTTGCTCTCCAGCACATCCATCCATTTCCTTTCTTATGGCTTATTCTACTGTCACCTCTTTATAACGAAGCCATTCAAACATGTGATGCAGGTTGAGCAGGACCAGCAGCCTCACCATGGTTGCAGGGTTCCAGGTGGTGGAAGGAGCTGTGTTGGGCAGCCAGTTAGTTCCTCCAGTCAGCTTCTTCTCATCCGACTGATTCCAGTGAAGATCGCTATAGAGAGAAAGAGCTCGTCAGGTTTATCAGCATCACCAGGGAAGTTCAACACGACTGAAGTGCACTTACTTCTTCGCTCTGCCGTTCCCAATTCCAAGATCTGAAGAAAACAAAGTCAAATAATGAATGTATAGCATGAAACCATTTTATTCATCTATTTGTTTTTAAATAGTTTTTATGGAGGAAAAGCTGATGTTACAGTCTTCAAACCTTTACAATGACATGCTTTAACTTAAAAAAGGGGGAAAGTACAGCCAAAAGGAAATGTAAGGAGTGAACATAGCAAAGACCTGGCTGATCAGATTTGACCCAGAGGTAAAGTGATCTGTGTGTGTGTGGTCTGCTACTTTTACAGCTGTGGTCTAAACTGACATCTTTTTAGGTATACTGCTGCTAGGGCTGGGCGATATGGCCTAAAATTCATATCGTGATATAATTTGAAGCACGTGCGGTAACGATATATATCGCGATATATTCTTTTCTTCTGTATAACGTATTTTCCACACTATAAGGCGCACTTACAATCCTTTAATTTTCTCAAAAAGTCAAACAAATACTGAGTTAAAAACGGTCTAAATTCTTTCATCTTTAAT